TGCCCCAGGTGCACGTCGGGCTGGAGCCGCTCTAGGTAAACGCTGGGAGTGGGGGGGCCACAAGGAGTTTGCGGGCCGCAGAAAACAACCCCGTGGGCCGCATGCGGCCCCTGGGCCGCATGTTTGAGACCCCTGGTCTAAATGGTCTAGTTTAACAAGACAACTAAGGCCGACTTGGCTTTCCAACAAGCCAAAAGCACATGCAAAAGTTCTGAATTGTAGACACATTAGCTCAGTATTGCCTTGTTCAACGTACCATGTAAGTAGAAGAGTAAAATAAGCAGCTTTATGTAAGGCTGGGACAAATGACTACATGGCAAAAGACTGACTGAACAGTAGGCTTCCATGGTGAGCTGGAGTCATTCTACAGGAATTACAAGTCTTGACAGGAAATTTGGGGAAAGGAATTCAGGGAAGATTTCCTTCTCTTTGGAATTTCAGAGTTAGAGTTGGGCATCAGAGCTTGGCTCAGCTGAGGGATACATTAGCAGTTCACAGTGCATTCGAAGACCACACTTAACTTGAACAAAATATAGCATATTGCAAGCTGAGCTTGCCTTTAGGATGCTTAGATACCATGGTGACAGGTACCTTATAAAAACTTAAGACAAAGTCAGAAGTACATCCCAAGGAGACCAGAAGGCTGCTCAGCTCAGGATGGCGTATTGCATGCTAAGATCTGTAGTCTCCCCAGGCTGAACTCCTGTAGTAAAGATGATGGTGGCCCCACATTGTGCTGGGACAGACTTCGCTGAGAAGAGAGGGAGTCACAGTTGTTAAAGGGGCAGCAAGGGATGTGATTTTCCAAGACAGAATAAACAAATTCAATTCTCTTCCTGCTAAAAGAGGTTTTACAAATCACCAAGACAGAGATCAGGTGAGATAAACCCAAATATTTTTAATACCAAAAATGTCTACCACTAGTGACATGATCAGTAAGGAGATGGAACATTCTTTAAGCCTGACCAGGATTAAATACCTATCTGGACATGCTAAAATACGCCAATGAAGAAAATGCAAAATTGTATCTGGTTCAAAAAATTTGATACTTGGGCTTGTCACAGACATACACAAAGAGAATTGTAGGTGTTCTAAACCCCAACGCCTTGGGACAAGGATAAGAAAGGAACAGCCAGAAATTTCCATCTTGAATTCCAAGAGAATCCAGACCCAATGAACCAAGAGTCACAGGAATTTAGAGGAGGAGATAAGAATTAAAGGACAAGAGAAACAGTTGCATAGGCTAGTTAAAAGCCTACCTCTGCCAATGAAAAGATACCACCTATTGTGTTCAGGGAGTACAAGAGAAAGGAGAAGGTATGTCCAGAGAGTGGACTGAGTAGCTATGTATCTCAGCACAAACCTCTCTCTTCAGGTTTGTGCAAACATGAGTTAGACACTGCACACACACGCCACCTCACCTGGCATCAGAACCTTTCAGCCTCAGCTCCTGCACCGCTGCCACTGACCACAGTCGAATTCTCTTGGTGTTGCTGCCACTGACCAGCCTGTTGCCACAACACAGAAGCACACCTAGGATAGCAGAAAGAAAATGCTTAATACAACATTAATACCCACACTTGTTGATCATTATAAAGGGATTGATAGACTCTACCAACTAAGTTCGCTGGTAAATGTTTGGGAGGAGGAGTGGCTATCCCACCAGCAGTCTGAACCCAAGGCCTCTTGTTTGCTATCCAGAGGTTTCTAGAAGTTGGAGGCTGAACCCAGGCTCTTAGCAATTGCACAGGAAATATGCATGCATACTTGCACCAGGTATGGCATGAATCTAGCGCCAATCAATTCTAGCATCTGCCAGTGACTCAGCATTTGAGCACTGAGAAACAGCTTGAATCAGGGTCCAGCAGGGCCAAGATTCTTCTTTCCTCTCAAGTCTCTGTGGAATTTAAGATGCAATCCTGTCAGAAGCCAGCAGCATCTGTACTTACCAATCTCACCCTCATCAGCCTCCCAAGTCATGAAACAGCGGTTGGTCTGTGTGTCCCACACGCAGATCTGTCCTGTGTTGGTCCCACTATAAAGGAGGTAGTTGGTGCTGTAGCAGAGAGATGTCAGTTCCACCCGTCCTACCATATCAGGGATGGCAGCTCTATGAACCTGCCACATAACAAAAAGCAGCAGGGTCAGGGAGATCATGATAGTTTATTTTTAAAAATCACCCCAAATTAAGTTAATTCACCCAATACTTTAGCATTAACTGAAAACCAGTCAACACCAGTAGGTGTTGCATCACTGTGGCTATGTGTACACTACCACGGTAAGTCGACCTAAGTTACGCAACTCCAGCTATGTGAAAAATGTAGCTGGAGTCGATGTAGCTTAGGTCAACCTACTACGGTGTCTACACCGTGCTGGATCGACAGGAGACACTCTCCCGTCGACTTACCTTACTCTTCTCATTCCGGATGGAGTACCGGGGTCGACTGGAGAGTGCTCTGCCATCGATTTAGCAGGTCTTCACTAGACCCATTAAATCAACCCCCGGTGCATCGATCGCCAGAGCTTTGATCCCGTAGTAGTGTAGATATAGCCTAAGAGAAACCAATCGACCCCACCCACGGGCACAGACTAATAATGGCAGAGACTTTCATATCCATTATTGTGTGGGCTTTAAAAGAAGACAAGACAGTCTGACAAATAGAAAGGAGAAGTTCAGATGTTGAATCTGCAAACACCTAGAAGATAATAAGATGATAAGTGACAGTTAGCATGGATTTGTCAAGAACAAATCATGGCAAACCAACCTAATAGCTTTCTTTGACAGGGTAACAGGCCTTGTGGATGGGGGGAAGCAGCAGCAGATGTGGTATATTTTGACTTTAGTAAGGCTTTTGATACTGTCTCGCATGACCCTCTCATAAATAAACTAGGGAAATACAAACCTAGATGGAGCTACTATAAGGTGGGGGCATAACTGGCTGGAAAACCATTCGCAGAGAGTAGTTATCAGTGGTTCACAGTCAAAACTGAGGTCCTGCAGGGATCAGTTCTGGGTCCAGTTCTGTTCAATATCTTCATCAATGATTTAGATAATGGCATAGAGAGTACACTTATAAAGTTTGCAAACGATACCAAGTTGGGAGAGGTTACAAGTGCTTTGGAGGATAAGATTAAAATTCAAAATGATTTGGACAAACTGGAGAAATGGTCTGAAGTAAATAGGATGAAATTCAATAAGGATAAATCAAAGTGCTCCACTTAGGAAGGAACAATCAGTGGCATATATACAAAATGGGAAATGACTACCTAGGAAGGAGTACTGTGGAAAGGTATCTGGGGTTTACAGTGGATCACAACCTAAATATGAGTCAACAGTGTAACACTGTTGCAAAAAAAGCAAACATAATTCTGGGATATATTAGCAGGAGTGTTGTAAACAAGACACTAGAAGTAATTCTTCCGCTCTACTCCATGCTAATTAGGCCTCAGTTGGAGTATTGTGTTCTGTTGTGGAGATAGGACAAGAAGCAATGGGCTTAAACTGCAGCAAGAGAGTTTTAGATTGGACATTAGGAAAAACTTCCTGTCAGGGTGTTTAAGCACTGGAACAAATAGCCTAGGGAGGCTGTGGAATCTCCATCATTGGAGATTTTTAAGAGCAGGGTAGACAAACGCCTGTCAGGGATGGTCTAGATCAGTGTTTCCCAAACTTGGGATGCTGCTTGTGTAGGGAAAGCCCCTGGTGGGCTGGGTTGGTTTGTGTACCTGCCGCGTCCGCAGGTCCGGACGATCGCAGCTCCCACTGGCCCTTTCCCCCCGCCGCTTCCAGCAGCTCCCATTGGCCTGGAGCAGCGAACCGCGGCCAGTGGGAGCTGCAATCGGCCAGACCTGCGGACGCGGCAGGTACACAAACCGGCCTGGCCCGCCAGAGGCTCTCCCTACACAAGCGGTGTCCCAAGTCTGGGAAACACTGGTCTAGATAATACTTAGTCCTGCCTTGACTTCAGGGGACTGGACTAGATGACCTCTCAAGGTCCCTTCCAGTCCTACACTTCTATGATTCTATGTACCTTGAGGCTGATGTCAGCTCCCTGCTGCTTAATTAGCCAGAAAGTCACTGCTCCTCTGCCTACACAGGCTAGTTCACCAGCAGAAAGAGGGTTAAAGGCCACTTCGTGGACTGGTTCTAAGATATGGGTGGACGACATTAGGTCATAAGTATGGGTGTTCCACAGGGCGAGGGTCCGGTCACTGTAGTCCCCTATATATGACATGAAAGACAGTAGGAACTTCAGGATATCACTTTAATTTCATATACATGTTGTACATTTCCATATTAAATTAATCAGAATTCCCCCCAGTTTAACATAGACACAACTTAAACTTCAACTCTCTTTGCTTAAACATGTACTACCAACTTCCCTTATGTCAAATCCTATAGCAACCTAGTGATCTTACACAGAAGAGACACCAAAAATGACCCTATCACATCGTGTGTGCATTCTGTAGACATCCAGTGACCCAAGTGACCATGTAACAGCAACTTGGCATCCTAATTCTATATCACAAGTGACCTCATTACACCTAAATACCTTGTGGATACCATACCCTCAGTGACCTCTTTACACCAGCTCACTGTCCTGGAGACATCCTACACAAGCTCATAGCTTACAGGTTCAGATGACTAACCTAGTGTAACAAGGAGTCTATCATCACGAGAGTATGCCATGGCCTGTACTTGGGTCTCATGATGGAAAATAACTTTTTGGCAAGTCCCATCCTGTATGTTCCAGATGCGGATCTGACAGCGTGAGTCTCCATTCCCATGGCCAGAGGCAGAGGCGAGAACCTGGCAAAACAATAATATATCACCATTGGGAACTCAATAAAAAATGATATGGGTGTTCTAGGAGAATCAACAAGCCCTATGTAGCCATTAAACCAGAAGTGAACTCATACAGATAGCAAGAGGAAAGCTCTGCAGATTCATAAGGATGGAGGCACTTGATGAAAAAACACACACCGGAGAAGAGTGAAAGCTTCATGGCCACATACACACAGCATTAAGTGCCAGTTAGTTGCAGATGAGGCATGAGGATTAGCACATGCCTGCTTTAACTCCAAAAACCAGAGTCTCTATGCAGTGGGCTAGAGAAGCAGCTCAGGCAGAAGAGGAAACAGATACACATAGGAGCTCATTCAGCAAAGTCCATCCAGTCCAGGGCAAATAGTATATATAGCCAAACCAAAGCTTCTCCAGGAGGATAGGATACATTCATACCTGGGCATCATGGCTGACTGCTAAAGTAGAGATCTCTTCAGGGTGGCCAAGCCAATGTTGCTGCGATCCCGAGTGCAGGTCTTCAACCACAATCACACAGCCACAGGTATAGGCAAAAAAACCTAGGTGCAGTGTGAAGAGGAGGGATATGAAATCAGGAGAGGTCAGCACAGAGGCCTTGTGTACAGGCCTGTACACTGCTGCATCTAACATACACAGTATAATTACAGAAGTGAAACTAACTCTTCTGTCTAGAGTGCTTTAGAGTTAACTGTCTTTCAATTACAGGCCATGGAGTGTCCTTCCAATCAGGGAATGGGCAGAGGCAGAAATCTCTGTTCCTCCAAATTTGATGAAGAAAAGCACTTCAGTGCCATTTAACAGCTCTGACATAAAGAGGTGAGAGGGCCTATAAAACAACAAGCTCTCTTCCCTGTCACCATGTGAGCTGAACAACTAGAGGCTGGAAATTACTTTGCTAATAGGATTCGCCAACATGCCTGTATCAGCCAGCACTTGCTGATATCACATAAAAAGGGTCCCTTATGGTACAAAATAAACTCACTACAGCAGAGTGAAGCTCTCGTGGATGGCAACAAGACTATTTAACTCATCTAACTGTGCAATGTTTTCACATTTAATGTGCCATTACAGAAGTGTTGGGATACACACACACACTTTCCTGAAGACTCAGCCCTAGAATACCTGTGTCTGGGTTCCAGACCATATTCCCCCTTCCATTCCCATTGTAGCCAATGACTGCCTTTAATTTCAGGCCCTCGTTACCAGCTGGAGGATACAAGACACTCTGCAAGGAAAACAGAAACTGGTGCAAGACCACTTTTGACAGGATACTCCATGTCGGTTCAATTCTAAATACTTGTACAGGAACTTGCACGCACACACACACATACAAAGAGTTTAACAGTCAAACACAAGCCCACCCACTTCTATAGTTATACATACAAAAAGTGAAACCCACACCAGCCAAACCAGACATATATGTTCTTCCAGATACATATTATATATATATCTTCACAAGCATCTTCTAATAGATTTGGGGTAACACTGCCAAACACCCCACCTGGGGAGTAGGTGCTAGTCCTGTTGGGAAAGGGTTAAATGGATTCTGCTGACTCATTGACAGGGATGCTTATTTACCCCACTTGGAGATAAGGGAGGTGGGAGTAGCTCTCTGAGGAGGAGGGGGGGGGGGGAGCGTGAGTGAGCAGTCCTGAGGGAGGAAGTCTAGGAGCTGTAAACCAGGGAAGAAGGATTGAGCTGAAATTTATGTTCTCATTGCTTTGTTTGCTAATAAAGCTGAATCCCAGGAAGGGGTAAGTTTGGACTTTCTACACGGTGTGAATTGTGTTGGTACAGCAGACTGGGAAAGGCATCTGCTCTCAAACATGTGCCTACAGACTCTCTGAAGCACTCTCAGTATTTTTTGAACAAAAAATATACAGATTTGCAGAGAAAAATAAGTGACCCAAAACCACTTATGGAAAGGTCATAGTCAACTCATCTGTGGTCATAACAGAAAGTAGGGCTAGTGCTAAGGGTTTCTAAAACATGGGAGTGCATTTCACAAAATTTTCCACTGCCTGAGGTATAAAAAGGAAGCTACATTAGGAAAGAACCAAATCAAAACCAATCTTTCCTGCTCTTTACCTGGCCAGGCTCTTAGCACTGGGGCAATTCTTACCTTGGGGAGTGCAGATGCTTTGAAGCGAGGAGTAAAGTGCCTGTAGGAATCTGGGCGGATATAGTACTGGGGTTCAGGACCCTTGGTCTCCTTTCTAGGTTCTAGCACAAAACATAAAATAAGCCTAACTTTGCTCATGGTAATGGTGCATCTTGAGCAACTAGGCCAGTTAATGTTCTGGTTTATTAACCTTCTGGATGTTGAGGAGGTGTGTACACATGGACACACACACAGGCTACGTTCTACATTGCCCTGCACCTTGTCCAGCACAAAGAGGGTGTAAAATGACCCAATCAGAATGTAACATTCACACCCATTCTGCCCTGGTGCAAATGGCTGCACCAGGGGCAGGGTCACAGAGATACATATACATATTTTCCTACCAATCTCCTCTCTGGTTGGAAAATGCCAGCATACCAGCTGTAAAGACAGATTATAATTCAATAACCTATTTCTGTCATTTTGTCAGGGTGACAGATACTCCACAAACTCAAAGTACTACCACACTGTGCACTATGGGCATCAGTACCTGAGGAGAACAAGCCAAGCAAATAGAAAACCACGACTTTATAGTGAAACAAGCCTTACTTTTAAACGGAAGTTCTCTGACAAATCTTGCCTGAGGCTTTGTGCACTGGCTGCTTCATGCCTCTGGCAGCTAGCCATGAGGTGCTGTAGCTTTGAAGTTGTATTTCTATTAATAGACACGTTGAGAGCTTTAACAGAAAGCACAACTTCAAAGCAGAGACAGGTTACAAGGTAGAAAGGACCCCTGTGTGCATAGAAGCAGCAGCAACAGAGATGGAGATGGACCAGGGAGGGAGACAGAAAAACAACAAACAGTCATAGAGACCAAAACAAATTTCCCTTACTCTATTCCTGTGGCAAATGATATCCAAAAGAAGGAAATATCACCTGGGAACTCTAGGAACACATACTGCATTTGATCTTGTGGCTTAAATCACATCCCTCCCAGAAACCCATGGCAGGCCATCAGTATTTCTACAGACACCGTACAGAATGCAACATTAACATTCCACTTGTGTCTATATTTTCATGGATTCTCCCTCATTTATTTTATTGCTAGAAACACACTGCCTTGCAGGCGAATGCTCTATTTGCTCCCCAAAGGAGCAAAGATCTTCAAAGGCCCAGAACACCCTTGATTTACCATTTCCAGAGTGACTGGGAGACCTCGAACACTCCTGACTCACTTTGGGCCTCACAACATGAGTCTCCTCATTCTCGACTGGTTCCTCCATGACAAGGGCCGAGTGGTCTTTGTTTCCATCTGCAGCCCCTCTGCTGCTGCCTTTCAGACCTGCTTCCTCCCCTTCATCTGACTCAGAGAAAATATCTGCAGAGGAACATTGGTAGAAATGAGGGGAGAGTTATTCTGTGCTTCTATGAGTGGCTGACCCTTCAATTACAGAGAGGTTACAAAGCAAAACATTTGAATGCCCAGATTCTCCCCACAGCATTTTCCTGTTGCCTGCGGGGAGAATCTGGGAATTCACCCAAGGTCAGAGATCAGAGATATTCACAGCACCCTTGGAAATGTTTGGTCAGCAGTTCAGTCGATGGAACCAGGGGCAAGGGAAAAAGTGGCACCAAGAATTACTAGACAGTACTAGGACGGGAAGGGAAGGTGCAGAGCCGCTCATCTTAACCTACAGGTGGAGGTGGAGGTGGAGGGAAGGGGTGCCAGGGCAGCTGTTGAACTATAAAGGGAGTTTTCCCCCAACGAAACCTTAATTCCCCTTCTCTCCAGGTGATTCCTCTTCTCACCATCATGTCCTGGTTGGTGGATAGAGCTGATGTCCAGATGTGGTGGTGAGGCCAGAGATGGAAGAGGAGCTGACTGGCGGGGTATCTCATTAGCACTGGATGTAAAATCCTTTAGCTTCTCAGAGCTAGTTTCTGTGAACAGAAAAGGGGACTGGGTAATTCCCTCTGACGTCCTCTGAAGACAGGCTGAGGCAATGGCAATACAGTACCAATTATGCTCAGCTCTCCAGCTTCCTCATACCCAGATGAAGTCATTTACAGATGCCTTATCCTTTGTCCTCAGGAGGAGAGAAAAGAGAGACAGGGAGAGGTGAGAAGGAAGAGACAATGGAGAGAGAGAAGTAGGAGAGGTTAAGGTAACAGAGCCGAGGAGAAAGAAGAGTAAGAGACGAGGAAGAAGTTTATCAGCTAGCCCATGGCTGACCCACTTTGCCCTTGCCCTCCCCAGCAGTTGTCTCTGTAACAAGGGGAAACACTAATCAGCTGGAGATTTCAAACTGCAGATTAATCCCTAGCACTAACAAGGAATTAGCTCATGGTGTCCTGGCATCCTTGGCCAAAGAGCTAAAATCCCATTTATAATCAAATCAAGGCTCTTCTGTGTCCTGAAAACAGCTTTGGAAAAATGTGTCTGAATGTGTAAAATGAAAGAGGCAAACTCACCAGCTCTGGGAGGCATAAGGGACTCAACATAGGGATGAACACTGGAAAGGTAATGAGACAAGAGTTACAACAATGGGGGTGAGAACAGGAGAGAGAGGGGAACAATGGAAAGCATTCCCAAGCCAATGAGATTTGATGAAGGATTGTAGTGCTCTTACTCGGCCTTGGGTGACTCCACTCTAGACACAGCTAAGAAGTCCCAAAGGAAGATGGCATCTCCAATGCTGATGACGTGCTGTTGGTCAGGGGTGAAGGCCACCTGTCGCACTGGCTCCGAGTGACCAATATATACCTGGGAGAAAGTAAGGGCGGAGGGGCATGTCTTGTACTTCCAATGCAACTGCTACACAAAGCTTTGCATGTTCTTAGGACCATTCATGTTCCCTTCAGCACAGATAAGGTGGTAAAGGGCCTTCCTGGAAAAGGCTCTTTCATATTTTTCTATATAGTTATCGTACCTTATCGGATATACAGTACAGGGGGAATTCTGTCCACAATTACCTAACAGAGGTTCTTTTATGTACCTCCTGAGGGTGCATACACCAGGCCTGCACTGCTGAGTTCTGGAGTCATTCTTTAATGAGGCCGCAGTGGTATGGAGGAATGAGCATGGGATTGGAAACTGGAAGAAACTGAGTCCTCATCCTGGCTCTGCCCAACTCCCGTGTGACCTTGAACAAGTCACTTCACTGCTCTCCGTTGTTCCATCTGTAAAAGGGGTAACGCCTGCCTATCTGTGTCCTGGATAGTGGTGTGGTGAGGATTACTTAATGATGGTAAGGTGCTATAGATATACTAAAGTATTATTATTAAGTGAAATGTGTTTGGTGTTCTCCATCCATGTCCCATTGGACAAAACTATCACAGTTATGACTGGGAACCATGGATCAATACTGGACAAATCAAGGTTGAGGGTCATTGGCAAATCCATGTGGAGGAGGTTAGCTGTACTATTGCTTTCTGCTCAGAAGAGCTAAGTGGCATTCATAGTGGAAAAGTGTAAGGCACCACTGATTTTTTCCCTTGAATCCAGTACCTGAAAATTGATGTCGAACCTCATCTGATAGTCCCACACTTTGACAACCCTGTCACCGGCCGTCAGCAGGTACCTGGCATCCTCACTCAGTGTCAATGAAGAACAGGATAGCTTGTGTACACGAGACACCTGTGAACAAGACAAGACATCATCACTGCTAGCTGAACCAGCTGTTTCCAGCTTGATCCGAGAGAGAAACATAAGGACAGCCTGTCTAAGATGTCCAATTGGAAATGGGAGGAAAAGGGGTTTAAGCAAGGGAATGCTTTTGCCCTCTTCTGATAAAAAAAGTTTCAAACAGTAAGAGAAAGGGGGCAAAGATGCCCAGCTGTTCCAGACATGGAAGGCCTGTGATTGCTTCCAATCTTACATCACTCTGTAACTATGCACAGACTGCAAAGTTTGTTAGACACACCGAATCTGGATAAACGTGGTACTCTTCAGCCAGGTGACAAAGAGTGTGAGGGAGCAAAGCAGGAGGGAACAGATTTATCCTCATCTGTGGAATAACCACATTAGCAACATACTTCAGGTGACTCAGTTTTTCTTAGAAGCCTGTGATTGCCAGGACTTCATCACGGAGTCCCATGTTCACATGTGTGCACTGTCAAGAGGTGTGGAAGCTGAGGGATATCCCAGAGACCACAGAGCATTCGCTTCACAAATTCCTTACCTCTCGGACCAAGCGCCCAGTTTTAGCATCAAGCACAAGGACCTTGTTGGAGGAAGTGGACACCAAGAGGTGGCCAACAGGCATGGGAGCAAAGCAGATTCTCAAAGCAGAGTCCAAGCTGGTGCTGTCCAAGTCCAGGATGCTGACGTCTATCCTCAGTAGCTATGAAACAAGAAACTATTGAACACCAGCTTCCTGAAGTGAACAGTTCCACATGAAATGATACGGATGGCAGGGAATCCTAAGGAACTTCTACACAATCTGAGGATATTTTTAGACCATTTCCCCCACTGCTTTATTGTCTGAGGCTGCTAGAGGAGGAGGAAAATGTACCTCACTCTCTTTCCCCAAGCTACCTGATTAAGTGATGGTTCTGGGCAGGCACTGTAAGTGGGCATTACTCAAGAAGACATTTCCTCAAAAAGGTACAGATGCTGTAAGATTCCCTATTGCTTTTCAGCAATTTCAGCTCTTGCTCCATAAGGGTTGGATGTGATTGTGGAAGGAAGACAGCCTGATTTGGTGTTTCCATCCCACAGCAGCATCAAAAAGGAGGAAATCAAAACCACATCCCAAGTGTTTTCCACATGGCGAAGGACACGTAAAGGGGCTATGTCAGATCCTATTTGGTGGAGTCTAGGGGTTCTCTAACTGTCTGGGAAGAAATCTCTTTTCCTTACCCTGCAAAGCATTCTGCAGTTGTGATGCCAGGAATGCCCTCCCTCCTATTCTATTCTCCCTTTGGATCAAGGCAACTTCCTTCCAGTTACCTCATCTAGAGAATGGGCATCCATAACGGTCACAGTGTACTTAGAGGGGCCCACAAAGGCGAGGAGACGTCCATCCCCACTAAGGGCCAAAGCGTTGGGACTATGCTCAGCATCTTGGGACACCACATTACCTGGATACGACAAAACACAGGGTGAATGAGATAAACAGGAAGGAGAGAAAGCCTAAAGGGAGAGTGACTGATTATATACTGCAGCTGAGATAAAATTCATTCTATTAAGGTTTTAGAGGTTGCTCCTCTCTCTGAATCAGCACTGAGCCAGTACTCCAGCATGGTGCTAAAGGTCAATCTGTGCTGTGGAAGGTGCCAGACTTGAACAGCTATTATACACACATTAAAGACAGATCTGAATCAGAACATTCACACCAAGATCTGCAACAGCCCAAAATTTGGGGAGGCCTGGAAATGGGGTTGCAATTTGAGCAAATGGATTATATTTGAGGCACACACAGTACCACAGTGCAATATCAATGGAGGAAGTTGGATTTTATTGTAGGGGTTTTTTTAGTATAGGCAAGGGATTGTGACAAGGAGTTACTGCACATGGATCTCAGCAAGGGTTTAAACAGCTTAAATCCATAAAGCGAGAAATGGCTGCAAAAAACTGCAGTACAGTGAAGTAATTTTTAGTTAGTAGATGAACTCAAGGAATGTCTTTTTATCACAAAAATCAAGATGACTGGTCTATATTTAGCCTATTGCTGAAAAAGGCCAGTCTAGATTTAAGATCATGTATTATTTCTGGGGGTGGGCAGGAAAAAAAGGGAGGCAGTATGGCTAGGGCACTGGCTTCAGATCAGAGCGTCAAGAAGCCCTGAATGCTAGCCCCAGTTCTCACACTGGCATGTTGTGTGACCCTGGACAGTCCCATCCTCTCTCTGTGCCTCTGCTTCCCCTCCCACCCTTTGTCTGTCTTGCCTGTTTAGACTGGAGGTTCTTTGGGGCAGGGGCCATCTCTCACTGCTTGTATGGTGCCTAACAGAATGGGGAGCCCCCTACCTCAGTTGAGGCCTCTATGTGCTACTGTAATTCTACTATCACTTCTTTTTTTTTTTTTTTTTAAAGCGTGCATTAAATCAGAAAGAGGAATACATGCAATCTGAGCCCATCTGCAACGTTAAAATACATCAATCCAGTTACAAACCTTTGGAAACCAGAGTGACAATGAAATCTTAATATTGCTCTCACTGAGGGTCTGTTAACAGGCAAGAGAGAAATACAGCTAATTTGTCTCAAAAGGATCATAGGATGCCCTCTGAAAATTACTTCATGGAATTTTGAGCCTTTTAGCCCTGGAGACAATACCACGAAGAAGGATACAGAACCCTTACCCAGAACTCTGAGGACGTGACTCTTCTGGGCTGCACAGTTGTAAAGAGCCAGGGTCCCATGGGAGCAGGAACTGAACATCAAATTGCCATCTGGGGAGAAGGTCAGACCAGTGACTGCACCACGGTGCTGCCTATATAACACAGAAAACACGGGAGACAGTGGGGCAATAAAAGCAGAGCAGACTGATGTGAAGTACAGTGGGGGGTCCCTGGATTAGGAAGGAAATCAGAAACAATGTCAGGGACAGTCAGAAGCCCACCCTATTTTTCCCTGTCGTAGTATAAGACAGTTGGTTGTCTTTATTCCCAAGGGTGCTGGGGGAGACTAATCAACAAATGCAGTGCTCTTGCTGCCAACAGCTTCCAGGATGACATAGTCACACACTGACATGTACTTTTGATCATTCTCCACTCCCCACCAAAAATGTTCTCAAGTGCATCCTGTCTGGTTGATCCCCAACATGCCTCCCCTATTCTTGGCCACCTCCCTCCACGATGGAGAGTCCCAGACAGGCCTGACTCTTAAAACAAACCCAAAACCACGCACCCCACAGCCATGACCCCACTAGACTTTTCCTCTCTGAAAACCAGCTCATTGTAACTCACGTGATGAGATGGCTAAGTCCTAAGGAATGTGCTCTTCCATTATGGCCCACCACTAAATGTTAGCTCCTCATATTTCTCTCATGTGGATGGACATCTTATTTACACCATTGCCGTGACTCCCATCATTTAGATTTTTACATATGAATATACAATATCCATTTGTCAAACGTACTTGTGTTCCATGAGTAGATCAGAGGCAGTCAGGCTGAAGGTTCTCACCACTCCACTGCTGAACCCACATGCAAATATCTGTTGTGCAGGATGAAAGGCCACAGTACATGGTATCTCATCAGAGGCAGTGAAGTCATATAGCTGTGGGAAAGGGACACACAGAAGCACTGCTTGGGGATATGCAAAACCTGGCAGCAGTATGTGGCAGAATGAGATAACCCCATATCCCAGTTCCCCGTCATAAGCCTATCATTACAGTGAAGTTGTGTAACCCCTTGGGGCCTGATCCAAAGCTCAGTGAAATCAGTAGGAGTCTTTCTATGGACTTCAACGGTCTTGGGCTGCGGAGCTATAACACTGCATTGTAGACATTCAGGCTTGGGCTAGAGCCCAGGCACTGGGACCTTCCCCCCTTGCTGGGTCTCAGAGCCTGGTCCAGTCTGAGCCTGAGTGTTTACACTGCAATTTTACAGTCCTGCAGCCCAAGCCTAAGTCAGCTGACATGGGTCAGCCGTGAGGGTTTTATTGCAGTGTACACAAACCCACAGAGACCTGATCATTATGGCCTAACATTAACCTACAATATTTAGTAGATGGAAGAAAAGCAAGTGGTATTTTAAATATTTGACTTTTGGAGCTAAAGCCAAACTACACTGAAAAATCTTGAACTTCATGCAGTAGTTCTGGAGGGATCTGTTGTCCTTTGGGGTAGATTTAAGTGATTTTAAAGTGAGATATGTTGCTAGCACTAGCTACAGTCAGTTGGAATAAACAAAGATTATGCAGACTTCCTTTTACAGCTCCGCCAGCAAAACTGAGTTTTGACTTCTACTATCTCTATCTTCATTAAGAAAGTGAGCTTACACTACCTGCTGCATGGACACAAGGTCCCAGATCCGGATGGTGTTATCCTGGGACACTGTAGCCATCTGCTTCCGGAGCCCATCCACAGAGAATGCCAGAACAGAGTCAGTGTGGGAGCGCATGAGGGTATTGTAGCCCCGGGACTGTACATCCAGGTAACCCAGGTTCCCAGTAGAGGTGGTGCACAGAACTTTGAGATTATCTGGACTGATGCTGACAGAGCTCACTGGACCTTCATGCTCTGGGGAAACAGATGTACCAGTTGATAAATTATCCCAGGACCCAAAAAAGTGGTAGATCTAGATCATAGCTAAGTGACCACCCTTTTATTTCTGCACTTTCATTTCTAAGTCCTGTAGTTTCCTGAGTGCTTTGAGACTAACTTTTCTCAGGTTTTAGTCTAGCCACATAATCAAGCCAGTGTCATTTATAAAAAGTCTTTATTTTTCAGTGTCACTGCATTTCATTCCAGGATGGATGAAGAACTCCTGTGTTTCTCCCATAGATTTTAATTGGACAGATATGCAATAAGCATTAAGGACTAATGTTTACCTTACTCAGAAGACTCCTGTCATTCTCTAGAATTCCAGAAAAACAAGGACCACTCTTGAAGAGATAATCCCCAAGATTCATTCTGTACAGACTTATCTAACTTTTCACTGCAGGAGGTGGCAGTTACTACACACAAGGGTCTAGCCCACTGAGAGAGCACCATAAGAGAAGCCTAAGAATGAATTTCTGTTGCTCTTCACAAGAGCTCAGGTTTGGGAATGGATCAGAAGAGCAGTGTAGTGGAACCCTAGGCTACATTCCCTTTTTCCTCCAGGAAAGCTTTGGCCCCATAGGGCTAGGTTGATATGAATGCAGAATTGAGTGGGGAATGAGTGAGAGAGATCCATGGTCTACTCACCAGCCTCCAAGAAGACTGCCGAGAAATCCAGCGGCCACAGCCGCACGTAGCCATCCTCTGAGGCTGTGGCACAGAAGGTAGAGGAGATGCTAATACTGTTTATAGCAATCCCAGGACCTGAAAGGACAAATATTACGAATTAGCACAATGTAAGGAACCAAAAAATTACCAGACTGGATCAGACCAATGATCCATCTAGTCCAATGCTGAGCGATTCAGTAGCAGTTATGGGATAAGTTGTCCCCAGGGAAAATAAGAACGTCCATACTGGATCAGACCAAAGGTCCATCTTGCCCAGTATCCTGTCTTCCGACTGTGGCCAATGCCAGGTGCCCCAGAGGGAATGAACAGAACAGGTAATCATCAAGTGATCCATTCCCTGTCGCCCATTCCCAGCCTCTGGCAAATAGAGGCTAGGGACACTGTCCCTGCCCATCTTGGCTAATATCCATTGATGGACCTATCCTCCATGAATTTATCCACTTCTTTTTTGAACACCTTCTCCTAACCTCCAATTGCTAGATGATGGATCATGCCCCAAATCAGAAGGGCTTTTATTACAACCAGAACTCTTGTTCATATTTAATATTACTATTATAATGGTGGGTATCCTGGTTATCCATAGAAACGTCCAATCACTTTTCAAAGACTGCCATACTCCTGGCCTTAACAATACATCATGGCAATGATAGTCACAGGCTAATGGTGTGAAAAAGTGTTTCCTTTATCTTTTCGAATTGGTTCATCTATGGAGGGAGAAACAAGAAAGAGGAGAGAGGGAAAGGGGATGGGAATGTAGCAAAGGAGACTGTGTGCGTTAAGAAATAGCTAAAACATCCAATCCTTACGACTATATCAATGAAGTCTAGTCTAATCAAAAGCACTGGGAGCCAGACCCTAACCCTAATACAACTTGTGACCATGATCAAGTCTTAAATTCCACGCCTCAGTTTCCCCATATATAAAATGGGAATGATATCTACCCTCCTCAAAAAGTGGTTGGGAAGTCTAATTAATATACATTTGTAAAGCATTATAAAGTGAAAATGGCAGGGATCATTGTAATAGTGGGGTCTATTAGAGATTACCAAATCAGGAAGAGGAGATGAATGAGGCATTTCTAGGACAAACAACAGAAATATCTAAATCACAAGACCTGGTAGTAATGGGGGACTTTTCCAACAGATGTCTGAGTAGTTAAAGTAATACACCAAAACAGAATTTCCAATGAGTTCATGGAATGTATTGGGGACAAATTCTTGTTTCAGAAAGTGGAGGAAGTAACCAGAGTGACAGCGATTTTAGATTTGATTCTGAACAAGAGGGAGAAACTGGTTGCAAATCAGAAGGCAGAATGCAATTTGGATGAAAGTGACCATGAAATGATATCTTTCATTATTCTAAATACAGGAATGAGTGAGAGCAGCAGGATAAGGATAATGGTGTGATGTTGCTCTCCATATGTTTTATGGAAATATGCCTATGAGTGTAAATATAATGTAACTGGAATATGCTTTATGCAAAAGGTCTCTTGTAAGGTATCATTACAAAGCTTATAATCTACTGTGTGTTCAACCTATTTGTATGAATGTATCATTCTTGTACCTGAAGCTAGAAATATGAAGTATTACTCTGAAGTCCTATTGTAATTATGCAAAGTGTGGGACATTAATGGTGGCTTGGAATCTTGATGGCTCCCATTAACTAGGGCAATCTGTTTACTTGCAAACCTTCCTGGGGACGTGCAGGCCAGACCTGGAAGAATGAAGGCTGGAGTCTCACAGGACATGTGACCATGTCACATGATACTGGGATCCATCTTAAACCTGGTGCTTTTCCATTCAGAAGGAGGGGTGGGGACCCAGAGAGACAAAAGATTCCTGCCTTGGACCAAAGCTATAAAAGGGGGTGGAACAGAACAAAGGGGGCTGACAGTCATGAGAAATACTCTAGTTACCACCTGAGCTGGAACTAACAAGGACTATACCAGGGGAAAAAATTGGGCCCAGACTAGGAAGGAGTCTAGTCTGTGAAAGAAGCTTATTGGAACATCTCTGAGGGTTTACCTGTATTCAGTTTCTTAATGTATTAGGTTTAGACTTGCGTGTTTTGTTTTATTTTGCTTGGTAACTTACTTTGTTCTGTCTGCTATTACTTGAAACCACTTAAATCCTACTTTTTATACTTAATAAAATCACTTTTGTTTATTAATTAACCCAGTGATTAATACCTGGGGGAGCAAACAGCTGTGCATCTCTCTCTATCAGTGTTATAGAGGGCAGACAATTTATGAGTTTACCCTGTATAAGATTTATACAGAGTAAAACTAATTTATTTGGGGTTTGGCTCCCATTGGGAACTAAAAAAAGAACAAGGAGTACTTGTGGCACCTTAGAGACTAACAAATTTATTTGAGCATAAGCTTTCGTGGGCTAAAACCCACTTCATCGGATGCATGCAGTGGAAAATACAGTAAGAAGATATATATACACACAGAGGACATGAAAAAATGGGTGTTGCCATTCTAACTATAACGAGAGTAATCATTTGAGGTGGGCTATTATCAGCAGGAGAAAAAAAACTTTTGTAGTGATAATCAGGATGGCCCATTTCCAACAGTTGACAAGGTGTGAGTAACAGTAGGGGGAAAAAATTAGCATGGGGAAATAGGTTTTACTTTACATTGGGAACTGGGGGTGCTGGAGATAGGTAACCTGCTGAGTGGTTTTCAGTTAAAGCCTGCAGCTTCAGGGGCATGGTTCAGACCTGGGTCTTTGTTGCAGCAGGCTAACATGTTTGGCTCAACAAGGCAGGGTTCTGGAGTCCCCAAGCTGTCAGGGAAAACGTGCTCAGAGGTAATTTCAGCATATCAGGTGACAGTCCCAAGGGGGTCTCTGTGACCAAACCCGTCACAAATGGACTTCAAAAAAGCAGACTTTAACAGACTCAGAGAATTGGTAGGTAAGGTTCCATGGGAAGAAAATCTAAAGTATAAAGGAGTTCACAAGTGCTGGCAGTTTCTCAAGGAGTCAGTATTAAAGGCACAACCGCAAAGTATCCCAAACTGAAGGAAAGATAGGAACAATAGTAGGAGGCCAATCAGGAGCTATTTAATGAACTAAAAATTAAAAAGGAATCCTACAAAAAGTGGAAACATGGATGAACTGCTAAAGAGGAGTACAAAAGAACAGCACTAGCCTGTAGGGACTAAACAGAAAGGCTAAGGCACAAATTGAGTTACACTTAGCAAGGGACATAAAAGGAAAGAAGAAGAGGTGCTATAAATATGTTAGGAGCAAGAGAAAGATGAAGGAAAGTGCAGGTCCTTTGCTTAGTGGGGAAGGAGAGCTAATAACTGATGACAAGAAGTAGGCTGAGGTGTTTAATGCCTATTTTGCTTCAGTCTTCACTAAAAAGGTTAATGATTACCAAATACTCAACATGATTAAAATTAAAAAGGGGGAAAGAATGCAAACCAAAATAGGGAAAGAACAGGTTAAGGAACATTTAGATAAGTTAGGTGTACTCAAGTCAGCACAGCCTGATGAAATTCACCTTAAGCCGAGTATTAAAGGAATTAGTTGAAGCAATCTCAGAACCATTAGCAATTCTCTTCAAACACTCCTGGAGGATGGGTGAGGTCCCAGAGGACTGGAGAAGGGCCAATGAGTACTTATCTTTAAAAAGGGGAACAAAGTCAAAGAGGATCTCGGGAATTATAGACCAGTCAATCTAACTTTGATACATGGAAAGATACTGGAACAAATTATAAAACAAACAATTTATAAGCACCTAGCGCATAATAGTGTTATGGAATGACAACTTGGATTTGTCAAGAACAAATCATGCTAAACCAACCTAATTTCCTTCTTTGACAGGGTTACTAGCCTAGTAAATGGAGGGGAAGCAATAGACGTGATACATCTTTATTTTCTTAAGGCTTTTGACACAGTCCTACAAGACATTCTCATAAGCAAACTGGGCAAATGTGGTCTAGATAAATTATTATAAAGGTGGGTGAACAACTGGTTGATAGACTGTACTCAGAGTAGATATCAGTTGTTCACTGTCAAACTGGGAGGGTGTATCTAGTGAGATCCTGAAGCGGCCAGTCCTGGGTCGGGTATTGTTCAATATTTTCATTAACAACTTGGATAACAGAGTGGAGAGTATGCTTATAAAATATACGGATGACACCAAGCTCGGAGGCATATGGAGGTCAGGATTAGAATTCAAAATGACCTTGACAAATTGGAGAATTGGTCTAAAATCAACAAGATGGAAGTCCATAAAGACAAGTGGGAAGGGAAAATCAAATGCATTAATACAAACTGGGGAATAACTGGCTAGGTGGTAGTACTGCTGAAAAGGATCTGGGGACTATAGTGAATCACAAACTGAATCTGAGTCAACAATGTGATGCAGTTACAAGAGAGTCAAATATCATTCTGGGATATATTAACAGGATATTAGCCTTTTTTTGCAACTGCATCACAGGAGTGTCGTATGTAAGACATGGTAGGTAATTGTCCTGCTCTACTTGGGACTGATGAGGCCTGACCTCAAGTACTTTATCCAATTCTGGGTGCCACACTTTAGGAAAGATGTGGATAAACTGAAGCGAGCCCAGAGGACAGCAACAAAAACAATAAAAGGTTTAGAAAACCTGCCCAGTGAGGAAAGATTAAAAAAACTGGGCATATTTCGTTTTGAGAAAAGAAGACGGGGGGAGGGGGGGGGACACACACCTGATAACAGTCTTCAAATAAGTTAAGGGCTGTTATAAAGAGGATGGTGATCAATTGTCCCCTATGTCCACTGAAGGTAGGACAAAAAGAAATGGGTTTAATCTGCAGCAAGGGCGATTTAGGTTAGATATTAGGGAAAAGTTTCTAACTGTAAGGGTAGTTAAATTGTGGACAAAGCTTCCAAGGGAGGTTGTGGAATTACCATTTTTGGAGGATTTTAAGACCAGGCTAGATAAACACCTGTAAGGGATGGCCTAGGTTTATTTGGTCCTGCCTTAGTGCAAAGGGCTGAACTTGATAACCTCTTGAAGTCCCTTCTGGCCCTACATGTCTATAATTCTATAAAATAAAGCACATTATGTGCTGTTTTATAATATGAGTAGCAGTAGCACTTGAAAACAAATTCTAACTAATGTTATATTAGCAATACAAGACTTGCTGAAAGTCATAATACTTTGACTTCTATAGCATTAAAGAATTCTAAATACTGTTGAGATTTTGCTCACCAATGAAAGAACAGACCAGTTGTTTTATTTTGTATGTTTAGCTTTTTACATGCTACTGGGCACAGGATTCCTATTGGCTGATTAAAACATTGTTTTATGTTACTAAAAAAAGGGTGTTTATTCTAAACATTCATCACTTAAAACACCAAAATTCTTCTTAAGATGGTACTTAGCCATGTCAAGTCGGATTATTTTTGGTAGGAAGTTTGTCACCACTGATCTGATCAAAACCAGTCATCTGTGTTAGGCAGAGCATTGCTTTATTTTCAAAGAATTTGCTTAATTTCAACTTCAATCCCTCTGTGATAAATGGGGGGGAAGGGGGAAGCTCCCTTTTATGGGCACCCTGCCAGTCAGTAGCTATAGAATCCTCCTTAGCAGCTGTACCCTAATTGCCTTAACTGTAAAGGGTTAAGAGAAGCTTAACCTGAGTTGGCACCTGACCAGGGGAACCAACAGGGAGGCTGTACCCTTTCAAATTGGAAAAACTGCTGGGTTTGGGTTTTTTTCCTTTGTCTCTCAGGCTGGACAGAGGTGAAGGCAGCAACAAGCTGTAAGCTTTAAGCCAGGTATGGGAAATCTTCAGCATCATAACTAGAAGCTCCTCATTTGGAACTCCAGATATGTAAGTAGCACTGGAAAAGTTAAGACAGATGCGATTAGGAATCTTTTTGGTTGTTTTGGTTTGTGGATTCCTCTGTGCTAACCCCAGGTGCTTTTGTTTTGCTTGTAACCTTTAAGATGAACCCCAAGAAAGTTATTTTTTGAGTTTAATCCCTAAAGCCTGAGTTTTCAGATGTGTTTCTTTCTTTTTTAATAAAATTTACCTTTTTTTAAAGAATCCTTTGATTCCAAAGTCCTTAGACAAGGGGTTGGTCTGTGCTCACATTGCTAAGGCAACTGGTTGGTATTTTATTCTGAAGCCTCCCCAGGAAAGGGGGTGAAGAGGCTTGGGGGGATAGGGATTCCAAGTGACCCTTCCCTGAATATTTGTGAAAAATCATTTGGTGGTGGCAGCAATATCTGTCCAAGGCAGAAGACTGTGCCTTGGAAGAGTTTTATCCTAATAAAGAAGATAAGCTGAGGGGGTCTTTCATGCAGGTCCCCACATCTCTACCCCAGAATTCAGATTTGGGGGGGGTATATTGTGACACCCTCTAATAGATTTTACCCTAATTATTTAATGAGGCCGCTCCACTCTTACTGTCTTCACAAGCAAAACTTCTCCCTCCCAGCTGAATCCATCTACACTCATTGTTTTTAATTCAGCCCCTACGGCCAAAGTTCCAAAGGCCTCCATCCGCCCTCCAAATCTGCACACCTACACTTCTGCATATATGCTTTCTGGAGCATGAGGTTTTACATGAGTGAAACCTCAGATGTGAATGTGCATGAAAAATCATATAGATACTCAACTGCTTACGTACATAAGTACAGCTTGTGTATCCACATGAGATTTTGCATAGGCAAAAATCTTTAGGACTCAAAAAATACATGTGCAAAAACTAACGCACACACATTTAAAGACTGCTTCTGAAAATGTGCCCCTATTGTCCAGTAAAAAGAGCATTTCCCATCATATTATAATCTTTAAATAGTTATACAGTTACAATCCTTTCTCCCAAATCCAGATTCTTCAGATTCATAGATTAAGGACAGGAGGGACTATCAGATCACTTAGTCTGACCTGCTGTATAACACAGCCAGAGAATTGCATCCCGTTACTCCAGCACTGAGCCCAATAGGTTGGGATTATGTAAATTAATATGGGTATATGGGTAATAGAATCATAGGGTTAGAAGGGACTGCAAGGGTCATCTAATCTAACCCCAAAATAGGGTACATTTGGGTTAAATATAGTCTCGCTTTCTCCCCCTTCAATGCATAGGAGATTTCACTGGAGAAGAAACTGGCTGAAGCCCCACCTGTGCTCCCCAAAACCTTACTACTAGTGTGATGTCAGATTATCTCAGCCTACAGATGATCCCCTGCAATTCTGCCTATTTTGCACCTTGTATTATGAAACTTGGGTCCTAGGTTTGCTTCTGTCTGGTGTTCCCTCACAGGGCTCTTCCTTCAAACTCAGGGGACAATTTCAGTAAAAACATTTCTAATGAAAGTTCATAATGTAGCATGTCCTACTTCCTCTTAGTCATCTATCCATCTCCCACCAAAGCCCATACCCGAGTTGAAGGTTTGCTTCTCCGTCGGTGAGAGTGCTGAATCTGAGAAGGCAGGAGGCGCCGGGCATTTCTGATAGTGAAGTTCTTGTAGTCAATTTCCAAGATGTGGCCACTCTTGCTGCAAACAAAGCTGAAAGGGAAAGGACACCACCATTAGACACCAGTGACCACAATGGGAACTTCAGAGACATTGTTTAGCAGAAGAACTGTATTCTGCATTTTGTTTCAGTGTTAACTTTACACCACACTTTTGTAAACAAGCCTGGAATAACTTTAAACATGCTGTTTGTCTAATAACTTTAGCAATTCTAGTTCGTAATGCAATGATAGCTTGACTGGATGACAGGATTCAAGCATTTGATTTTCAGCAGGAGCTAACTTGGGAATCTATAACTGGTAGATGGAGTTAGACCTCTCCATCCTTCTTTTCCTTTTCCCTTTGAAAGAGCAATTTAGAAAAAAATCTCAAGGGTTAATTCAGCCAACATAAAAGATAAGGGAAAAAGCAAAACTAATGAGTCTTGAGTCTGTAAGTGCCTAGTTGGTCACAAAAATGATCTTCAGTTATCCTGTATATCTATATAAACTATGGACTTCAGACTCAGAAGTCTGGAAACAACTGAAAATTTTAATCAGGATGCGGCTACTTCTGACTCGGAGATCATATTTTTTCCTTTGTGAAGAAATAAAAAGAAAAACTCTACCAGCCTGTTATGGAGGAATCATTAGAAAGATTCCCCCCCCCCCATCTTTTCTAATTTAGGAGGAAAAAATAGAAGTAAAGAGGAAGAGACGTGCATCCCAAAGTGTAACAAAACTTAAAAGAAAATATACAAACGTTGGATTATTATTATTTCTATTATTGTAGGACACAGACCCCTCCATCAAGGATCAGTAAGGAGGATTGCGGACTCTCAGGTATCCATCCCAAAACCAGCTGAAGACTAAAGATGGAAGTATTACTAACCTGTACCAGAAGGAGATTAGGATCAGTTCGCAGAAACAAGATCTCTGGCAACTTTTGCCCAAAATCTCTTTCACTAGCTCAAACTGAGAAATGGATGTAACCATAAGCCATGACCCTATGGGAAATAACAGGGTTCCAGGCACGTTTGGCACAAATGCTATCCTGAACTGAATTGTAATAAATGGAGGCAGAGAGGCTTCACAGAAATGAGTCCTGAAAATCAAAACCACATTTGCTTATGTTTAATGGAAGTGACTGTTAAACTTTTGGAGGGAAATAAATTGGAATAATTCAGGAAAATTATTATTGCTTCAGATAAATTGTGTTGGAAAGGCAAAGACTTTCCCCATATAGGAGATCTGGATGTAAAATGTACAAATAAGATGAATGCATGATTTTGGGGAAGGCTTTTCATTTCTGAGTTTTGAACTTTTTGTTCACAATATCGGTAGATAGTTTAGTTTGTGATTAAATACATTACATTTTATTTATGTATACAGTGCCTTTGATCCAAAGCACGGAATAAAACATTAGAGGAAAGTGATTTTTCCCACGGCACATCCATCAACCAGAAACGAAGCAATACTGGGCACTCTACACCCACAGGGCTCAGCCCACAGAGGGAAGGTGAAAATTAACAGACCTGGCAATTCTGTGTTTTTGGAATATCGCTCTGGTAGCAGGAGTCTTGGTTGAGTGATTAAGCTGAAGTATAAAAAAGTCACGGGGAATGTTATTACACCACACCCCTCCCATTGCCAAATGAACATTAACAGCAAATCCATGGGCAGATTTTCACAGAGGACATGACTGGTGAAATATGTCATTTCTTGTGCAACTCTACAAGGGATTTTAAGCTTCTTTTAGGATCTGAAGTCTTAGAAAGGAGGAGAATAAAGGATAGGCTGGCTCTGTAGAGCACCTTTGTTTCTGCAGAGAGAATGCAGACAAAGGACTGTAGAATGCTCAAGTTAAGGACAGGGATGAGCAAGTCAAAACCACAACTGTTCAACCTTTTCCCTATGCTTACTAATCTAAAGCTCAACATGCTAGTGCAGACAGCTCCCAGGGACAAAGGCAGAGTGAATCACAGTGTCCCTAAAAAATTAATTTAAGGAAAGTGATTTAAGGAAAGAAAAAGTGGCTCCATCCTTACAGTGTCCGGTCCTCAGGTTCCCGCTCAGCGGAATGCCCTTTCTCAAAGGCCAGGTCGGTGAACTCCAAGGAATGATACTCCCCCAAATTCACTGGGCACGAGCGCAGCGCTCCACTCCGCACTCGCCACAGCCTCACATTATCTCTGCCACACGACACCATCCTGTTACACAAGAGGCTGAGTAAGGAACCAGGGAGGACTCGCTCTGAACTGACAAACGGCCTGCTCCCTGAAAGCAGCTGAAATGGACACACTGACACCAGGGGAGAGAAGAGGAAGGCTAACAGCAGCTTCCTTCCAGAAGTACCTTTTGTCTGCAAGCTGGAACTCCAGCAATGCAGTGAGCTTCCTCCCAGCAATGCCTTAATACAGAAATAGTCAATTATTTTTTGTCAAGGCTCAAATTTCTTGGTCAAGATATAGTCAAGTCCAGACTCCAGAGAAAATAATAAAAAAATAACAACAATAATAACAATAATGATAATAAGTAAATAAAAAGATTTAGGGGTCCGTTCACGTGTCTGCCGTCCGGATCTGGTCCACGGTCCACCTACTGACTACCCCAGCCTTCATCTAGGCCAGGGGTGGGCAAACTTTTTGGCCCGAGGGCCACATTGGGGAATAGAAATTGTATGGCGGGCCATGAATGCTCACAAAATTGGGGTTGGGGTGCAGGATGGGGTGCAGGCTCTGGGGTGGGGCTGGGGATGAACTGTTTGGGGTGCAGGAGGGTGCTCTGGGCTGGGCTCGAGGGGTTTGGTGAGCGGGTGGGGAATAAGGGGTGGGGCAGGGTATTGGAGCGTGGGGAGAGGCTCAGGGGGTGCAGGCTCCAAGTGGCGCTTACCTCAAGCAGCTCCCAGAAGCAGTGGCACGTCCCTTCTCTACGCAGAGGCTCTGCACGCTGCCCCATCCACAGGCACTGCCCCTGCAGCTCCCATTGGAGCACATAGGAGCCAGAGCGGGGCCATGCTGTGGCTTCTGGGAGCCATATGGTGTGGCCCTGACCCAGCGCCCCGGCTGGAGCGCCAGAGCGGGGCTGAGCCGTGTGGTGCGGCCCCGACCCAGCGTCCCAGCCGGAGTAGGGCCAAGCCATGTGGTGCAGCTCACGGGCCGGCTTAAAATGGCTCGCGGGCCAGATCCGGCCCGTGGGCCGTAGTTTGCCCACCCCTGATCTAGGCTGTTGTTTTACCTTATTCTCACATTCACTTATTTGCACATTACCTGGTGTCATCAAAAAAAGCAATCTTCAAGGTTTGGATGTCCACATCTGTGTGAGCTTTGGCCAGCACAACCACCTCTCCACCCTGGTTCACCTGAGCAGTATTCCACACCACCACCATCTGCAGAGATAGAACGGCAAGAGTAGAACTGCTGGAAACATAACACCCAGGTGGCCTTAGACCGTACAAGCAATGGAGAAGATTGCTAGCCTTCCCACAGCAGGTGAAACCCCAGATACTGCTCCCAATTGCCAGTATGCTGGTATTGTGCATTGGGGCTTTTATCCACATTGCTGTGAACAGAGTGGAGAAAAATCTCTCACAGAAAGATTCAGGACAACCCCAGAGAGCCTGGTGATTTTCATTTTAATAGGCTAGTCTGTCTGATAATCAGTTTCCCTACCTGCAGGGTTTCCTGGACAGGGCTTGAATCTGGGACTAAGATAAGGTACTTGCAAACGGAGAAAGAATGGAACCCAGTGTGTAATTAATTACAGGGAGTGCTAGAGCAGCAAAGGAGTGTAAGAGTAGGAGCTAGTAGAACTGTAGAGGAATGTGCTCAGCACCTTCAGAAGGAAATGCCTTGTGTCAACTTGTAGCGACCCCTGTAGGATGTAAGTGGAACCAAAACTGCTCCAAAGGCAGTCCCACCCATTCATTAACTGTGACGTTAGTTAATAAACTATGGGAAGCAGGGAAGTTCTTGATATTCAGCATGAACAGGCTTCCACACCAACAAAAAGCCGTGACTAGCTACAGAACCAGGATTTACTCAGTAGAATTTGGAGTACTTGTGGCACCTTAGAGACTAACAAATTTATTTGGGCATAAGCTTTCGTGGGCTAAAACCCCAAATAAATTTTGTTAGTCTCTAAGGTGCCACAAGTACTCCTCGTTCTTTTTGCTGATACAGACTAACACAGCTACCACTCTGAAACCTGTCAGTAGAATTTGTGATTCAGGGAGGTGTGTGTTCACAGATTTATAAATATCAAGTAAGGAAATAAATATTCAAATATTTTCTAACCAGTTTGGTAATAAGAGGATTTCACATGATCTACACTGAATGGTATTGCCTAAGGACATTTAAGGAAACTAGCATCTAGCCACTGTGTCTTGGAAGGGACATATGATTGGTTCTATGTGTAGAGTAATTGCACATTCCAGGAGAAAAACATCATTATCAGGGGGTAGGCATGTTAGTCTGTATCCACAAAAACAACGAGGAGTCCGGTGGCACCTTAAAGACTAACAGATTTATTTGGGCATAAGCTTTCATGGGTAAAAAACCCATTAGGTAAGTGGAACCCAAATAGCCCAAGAGCTTTATTACTCACTGTTTTGCCATGTCCATCTTTCCCAATGCCACAGAGAACAGCTCCACTGTAGGAAAGGCTGCAAGAGGAGAAAACTCAGGGTGAAATGAAGTATCCTACACCCTGCCTGGATCTCAATGGGAAAAATTAAAAGCCCACTCTCAACTCCTCCCCGACACACACTGCCCAAAACACGCCTGCAGTGTACCTGAGGGACGAGACTGAATGGACGTGGGTTTTAAACATGGATAGGCATTTCCCCTTCTGAAAATCCCAAAGTCGTACCATACTCAGGTGACCCATCTGTGCAGAAGCCAGCAATGTGCTGTTTCCATTAAATGCCAATGCCGATACCTGCAGGAAACATCATGTTAGCGAAAATAACCCCCAGCTTCTGGGAGAGGCTAGAACTGGAGTAGCTGAAACTCCCACTGCTGTCGATCCAACATCATTCCTTAGAATGACTCTTGCTAGGAGCTGGAGTTCTTGTAACTTCCCCCCTAGCCAGTGAGCTGATACAATTCCCTAGAATGAACCAGGCTTGGGATAGGAGTAGTCTCATGTTTTTTCACACATCAAATACTTGCAGTTGTTGCATATTCTCTGTGGGGTTGTCATATCTGTTTATGCAAAGCAATCCACTTTTTACCTTATCTGTATGTCCAATGAAGAACCTTTGCTCTCCAGTTTCAATCTGCATGGTTATTATAATAGCATGACAGGGGTAAACCACTGCAGAGCTGTTCTTAGTCCACAGAGCCTGCAGGACAAAGGCAAGAATCAGAGTAAGGGCAGAAGAGAGGATACTACAAAGGTGACCCAGTCTACAAACTGAGAGGAGAGCCCCCCTGTGCTTGCACAGATGGATGTGCATAGAATTAAGACATGCAGATATTTGGAAATCTGGTGCAAATATGCAGGTGTGTGTTATCTAGATGACAGCTGTTCCACACAAAAATAGATGCAAATTTATAACCATCAAAGGAAAACTGAGTGGTCGGCTTATAGTACATCCCAATTAATTCAGTTGATCTTCCATCCAAGTCATGTTTAACATCATATATGCAATATATAAGGGAACAATCCTTTGTTCACAGGAAATGGACTAGATGACCCAACAGGATTTTTTTTTTAAACTCTAACATGGATCATTAAGAGGATGGTTGGAAGAATCAGAATGCAATACCACAGGAGGACAAACTAACACACCAGCCTAAGGCACCAATGCATTTTTGGATTCCAAAGAAATTCTAGATGTGTGATACACGGATCAGTTTGGAATCTGTAACAAGATTTGGCAAGGGGCACATGATTTCAGAATTTTACTGGGGCAAATTCCGTGTATGGAAATGAGCTTTTCACCCCCAAAAATTTGTAGTCGAAAGAAACCGGGTGGGGTGATTTCCAAAGACAAAGGGAGTTAAGCATGAAAGTCAAAGGCCCTTTGTGCCTCTGAAAATCTCCCCCATAGTCAATGTATTGCAACTACATTCTTAAAAGCCTCTTCGTTACTGACCCATTTGGTGCTGTAACCCCCAAAGCCAATAATTGTCCTCAGCTTCAGGATTGGATCCGGTAAGAGTCTCTGAAAGAAGAAGATATTGTCAAAAGTACCAGCCTGAATAAAGCATGTGAGCCCTAAACTGTACCAGAACCAACTGCAAATTACATCCCAGTGATCTACCAAGTTCCCTCTGCCCCACATTAATCTGTGTCCCTCTGGATGGGTTTCATGTTTCTCCCTGAAGTGAGAGGGCTGTCTCTCTACCTTAACTTCTTCACATTAAGGGAGGAGTTTATTCAGTAGGTAATGATCATTAAAGGAAATCCAAAAGGAAGTGAGAGCAGGAATCGACTGAAGTCTTGTTTTCAGGAGCTCCATCTCCTCCAGGAATAGAAGCACCAAAGCCCACAGTGGACAGTGCTAAATGGAATAATCTCAGTAATGGAATGACTTGGTTAACCTGAATCACCTTTCCAAGAGGGCAGCCAAGCCCTCCCCGTGGTTACATACAAATGTCATGAAAATTCAAGGGAGCATCTGTAAAGATGGAAAGGGGGAAATCTTTTTTCTTACCCTGAAGGGAGATGCTTTCTTGCTGGAGAGCACCTCTGGTCCAGTAATCTTTGTGTACGCCGTCTGGGCAAATCAATACATAGGTGTTATTTGTTAAATGCCAATAGCATGATCATCTCTGTACAAGACACATTGGCCCTGCCTGGAGAAGCTTAAAATATAAGTGAAATAAAGGAACAAGATCAAGAGAGAATTCCAGGGAAGCTGGCTCACAACTGCCCTTAGTATTAAATAATCATCTCTGCCAGTTCCAACCAGAGTGGACATTCCTGTTGCTCTTTCTGCCGAGTTACTGAGCACCAGCCATAAGCATTCCAGACCCATCCTATAGGAACAAACTTGCAGTTTAACTTGTTTGTTCCTAGTACATTGGAGTCCCTTACCTCTATATATCTTCTCCTATGGTCAGTAAGAGTTTGAGCAAGAAGGCTGGGTTCAGGAGCTCTGTTTCCATATGAAGTCTTGGCCTAATGCTCTAACCCACCAGTCAGGCCCCAAGAATTGGGATAATCATGTTTCTGCATCTCAGTGCACAGGGCAGCAGTATGTGGGTCTGAAAGGCAACTGATCTGTTCTACCTGAATTCTTCCTTGAGAAGGTACTTACAGATGGAGGTTGGTGTAAATTGGTATTGTTGCACTGAAGTCAACGGAGCAACACCAGTTTACACCAGCTGAGGATCTGGTGTGGGGAACTTATGGGAGTAGTGGAAAAGGAAGCCATTAGGCTGGAGAGTTCAGCGCAAGGCACATTGTTCTTCTAATGAAAGCATCATGCATTCTCAGAGCCACCACGGGGGCAGACTTGAGGGAAGAGTTAAGAAGATTCTGTACAAGTTAGAGGCGGGATGTGGAGTTACACAGAGGATAACCAATAAGGTCAGGTTGTCAGAGTCCAGCGGTGCTCTCTCACTTACCTCATCTGAGCTAATGCCAATAGCATGGATGGCGACATCACCCATTCTGTGAGCATATACATGAATACCACCATCAGTTGTTGCATGTAATGGTACAGTGGAATCCCCAGCAGCTTGTAGTCCTTCTGCCCTGCTGAACTCCTGATCCCCAGAATACACTTCTTCCAGAGGCCCAGAGGTTGCTAAGTGAACCTCGGGGATGCTCTTTGTAACTAGGGGAGACCAGCGAGGCATCTGAGAAAGAGTAAACAAATGACAACAGATCAGGCCTGCCCCACAGCTCCCTACGATTGCTGTGATTGGAGAGAAAGGGAGAAATTAGTTTTGTTTTTTGACTGACTTTTATTCAGACACCTAAAACTCAAGACATCCAACATGTCAAAAACATTCAGGTGTGCCAAGTGATGCAGGAGAATAAAATAGGGTCCTCTGTGTGACTTTCCGATTTGGAATGGCAGAATTGCCACGTTTACTGGGTTTCCAATGCAACTTCTCTCTCTCCACTGTATGATAGCCAACACAAATATCTAAAACACAGACTCTCCCTCCCCACCAGACCCCACCAGAAACAGATCCATCATGCCCCTGAGAACTTCATTATTCTTGAGTGCCTCAGTTCCCCATCTGTAAAATGCGGACAATAACACTTCCCTATCTCTCAGGGGTGTCAGGAGCAAAATTACATTAAAAGATTGTGAGGTGTTCATATATTACGGTAATGGGGGCTAGATAAGCATCTTGGACAGACTGACAGACTGACCCCCAAAGTCATTAAACTGCAGAGTTTATTGACTGTAGGACAGGGCACAGCCCAGGCCATTGAACACAAAAAGTAGCCACTACAAAACTGAAAAACATCCCAAACACAAAACAGGACATGTGGAAACCCTCTGGCTAGAGGTGGTATGGGAAGCTACACTTACAGCCTAAGGCCATACTCACATCTTTAGGACTGGTTATCTGTTGGATGAGTGACACTCGGTCCCGGACAGCTTTGGTAAGCGTCACTGGCCGTGGAAGATGACGGATTGGGTCTTCTAGCACTTGAACACCTAGATTACAACAGCAATGTGTTGGGCTCTTTCCTACAATCTGCTTCCCCTCCTGCTGATCACACAGCTGCAGATGATGTAGCTGAACAGCTACTTCATTCTACTACTTATTCCTTCCTTAAAGAACTCAAGGAACAATTTGGAAACACAGGCCATGTCACAACAGAGGAAAACAAAGGACACATTATCTATTGGGCACACACTGCACAAGACCCAGAGGGGCTGGCCTGGTACTAGTCAAATGGGAGATCAAGTTCAAATCCTGTTCCTTTTGCCCCTGTTTGAACAGGGATTGGATGTGCTGCCAAGGTAGCATGCTGCGCTAGGGGAGAAGGAAGTGTTTCATAACACTCAACAGCAACCATTCTACCCTTGAAGAAGTGATGTTAATGGACTCCAGTGGGAGCTCCATCAGATCCCCTTGATTAGGGTAATGGCTGCAACAAGATGTCATAACAGATAAGCAACAGATGGGGAATCATCATGGCTCTGACAAAGAGGTAGATGAAGCAGGGCAGAAGAGGAGAATTCCCAGAAGGATCACTGCA